TATATATGTGTGGGTTAGTGTTTGTGTTTGTGTTTGTGTTTGTATATATATATATATTGATATATTGATTCACGGGACTTTTGGCGCCGGGCGCGTGTGCCAGTGCTGAGCTAGCTGGGATTATCCTCACAGACTGTATCACTAAAGCGTCAAACCCTAAAGCGGATGAAGACGTCCACATTATTCACACAAAAAACATTGACAGCCACACTGTCGTCGATGAGTCAGTGGGAGCAGTAGGATTCAAATGCTTTTAGGGTTTGAGGTTTTAGAGATAGACATGGTATACCGATTAGTTAACGACGGCCGGTGGTGGCGTTTGGCCACGCGCATCTGTCATGGGCACGCCCGCATCATTTACACACACGCGCATGTATTCACACTGACACACCGAATACTTATTTAAGCTCACAAACGCCTAAACCTATACCCAATACTCATACTATCTTGTGTGCATACTCAGAACATGGCACGAGCCGTAGCCCAGGAGTTCTGGAACCGTGTGCGTGTGTCGGTTGCTGAGCAGGCTGAGATTATCCGCACTGACCTTGCCACTAAGGAGTTGCAGTGGAAGAACACGTACAGTGGGCGTATGATGTCTCGAGACGAGCTGTTTTCTCTGGGCAAGCACGAGATACTGGAGAGTATGGCCCAAGTAAGTGTGTGTATGTGGTGGGATACGTACACGGTGTATGTACGTGGTTGTCTGGTGATGTGTGTGTGGTGTGATACATACATTGTGTGTGTACGTGTTACACTGTACAGCGGGCATATGATGCCAAGAGATGAAGTATTTGGGCTTCGCTAGTACGGAATGGGCGTATATATATACTTGTATGTGTCTGTCTGTGCGAATGCGTGTGTACATATAGTTGTACGTGTATGTCTGTGTGCTCTGGCATTACATTACATACACCACCTCTCTGCTGGCCTTAGTGCACTGATGGCTTAGTATCGCTTCTGTGTGGTTACTGTATCTATAGTCTGTGTACATACACTACATACCTCATATGCTTCCGTTAATAGTACATGTGTGCGTGTATATGTATTCATGCGTCTTCACCATACGTCGTATATGTCCGCAGTGTGATCAGTTCGTTGATCATCCAATGTAGTTTGTTGTACATTTGCACTGGGCTGTAGCACCATGTAGCAGCTGAGGGTGTCCTATTGCTTGACCACATTCATACTCTTATACTTTTTCTTTCTTTCTTCCTCTTTCTTTTTTGGCATTTTACAGTTTGGGTCGATTTCGGCGCGAGAGTGGGAAGATATTCTGAGAGAACGCTTGTGGGAGAGTATTAGCGAACATCTGGTTTCGGATTTGTATATAAATGCAGCCAAAACTGCAAGAACTACTGACTTTAAGGTGAGCTCCCTTGTGTGTAGGTGTGTAATTATGTTTATTTATACTTAATAGTTGATGCATAACTGTGTTCATCTGTATATATG